TTAATTTGCTTTCCTCTATGTTCCACTTTGCCATCATCGTTGTATTGATCGGGTGTTGCTGCTGGGGTATTGTCTCTCCAGCGCTCTGAAATATTTACCTCTTTAAAAATGGATATTAGGTCATTTAGAACATCCTATGGCTGATTGTCGCTTCCAACACGCTATAGCTTCTATTTTCAACCCTGATTCTGAATCCAAATCTCGGAGGCGATGTCAGCCAAGAGATATCGGAAGATCTTGTTGGTGAAATGACAAGTGGCGTGACCTTGATGAATGATTGCACATGCATTATGTACACCTAGACATGCAAAGCGTAGATTATGACATCGGCGCGAGTTAAACAAGAATCAATGGACACACTCATGCATTGGAGACTCCAGATGTAACCATCTCAAACTATCTTTATATCTATATTGCGGCGAAATCAGTCGCCCTCAGCGAATGCAGTCTAGAGATCCATCAACAGAAGGACAATTTTGAAAGCAGGAAATGGCAAGGTTACAGGATGTGTGTCCGAGTGCAGAGCTTGGACTGAGCCAAAAGAATATTAACGATCTCTCATATTTGCAACAAAACAACGTCAGCAACAACACCAGCAATAATGACCTTACTAATGATAGTCGTAATCAGTTGTATAACCATCATCGCCAGAGTACTCCGACAGAGAGATACACCATCTTGGGATCACTTGTCGTCTGCCCAGATAATAAACAGTACCAATTCGGGATTTCTTCAGTTCATTTTGACCTTGACCTCGTCCTTCAATGACGCTATCAGGTTATCGCCCTTTCATAAACAGGCAAAAGTATCATAACTAACCAGCAGTGTGACAACGCAACAACCTGGCATTTGTTGCATTGTCTTGTAACCTCGATCGCTCTTTGATAAATATATTTGTTGTTGTCCACCAAAACGTACATTTGAACAGGTGCGTAGCAATTTTTTTCTTTTCGTGTAAGTCCGATAGGTTGAGAAGCTTTATATTGAGATAGTATTGAGGGCTTGCCCAACGTTTTTAGCAACAATCATGTGTAAGCTCGGGCTTTTTTCAAAATGATAGCTACGCCCCTGTTCAAGACAAACAATTAACGACATCTCTACAATGTCTTCTGGGACTATATCTCCCAATCAGGCCAGGACTGATCCGATGATGATCCCGTAAATTTGGGCACTTGTGGTTTCCCCACAGTAGTACTCGGGCACGACCTATGTAACCGGTGTTCCTCCAACAGTAACTAATATGTCAGGGGATCCTGGTCAAGGCGGCACGAAATCCAACTCAAACGCTCACTTATGATCACCGTGATTATTTCTAATGTGGAATTTATTTTACTTCAACAACCATGCTTAAAAGCCCACACAAACGCTACATGGAGAAATGGCACATGCTGCTGGAAATCTGAACCACCCAAATGGATTTCTCACAGATGAAGGTCCCCGCGGACGCAGGAGCATGTATCGATCTGCTGCATCCGTTAGAAATTTCAAGTTTCACCCCTACATGATCAATGGCCCACATTTTCAACGAACCCTTAGTGTCTGACTTCATTTAGATTTTGACAGGCCGATTTATTTTGTGGCACAATATGTTATCATTCGTTACCTCGGCAGCCACGCGTAATGCATAGCGGCCCTAGTTAACTTGCACAGTTAAAACTAATACAGATTCACCCCAAGCCGCCTCAGCTCATCTCGCCGTACGATTGTTATACCGTTATTAACAGTTATTAACTCCCTCAGCTCACCCTACCGTATCATCGTAATACATCTAACTATTATCCCCTCAGCTCCACTTGCCGTATCAATGTTGTACAGTCTTTTGGTAGACCGTCAGTTCACCCAACCGTAGCAATGTAAGGTTTTCTCAACTAACCACAATATACTCTTTAGCCACTCCAGTATGAACGACGTTGTAACTTAACTATTCCGTAGCTAGTTCGTTTCAGCAATTCTAACATTGAAACATAGTTCTTCCCTATTCCCGCCAGGTATCCCTGATCAAATTAGCGTTCTACCCAACTGACTAACCAATTTAGTAACCGATTGAACTTGCTTCGACTGAATGAATTATATATTTATCTTCAAAGGAATATGCTTTTTAAACAGGCTGTTGGAGTAGAACATGCTCGCAAATCTCTTCGGGGACCTCAAAGGTTGTCTGACATTTGAACGTCGTCTTCAACTAGAGCCTGCAAGCCATCTTTCAGAAAAAATATGCCCTTCTAGACAAGGTCACCAGGCTCTGTTAGTTGACAGTTGCTTGAGTGTTATCTACACTTTTCTCATGAAACCCATGCAATGGTTTCTTGTGTGCCCAGTATGAGTTGTTCAGACAGTTAACACAAGCAGATATAATATAAAGCACATAGATACAAGTACCCAGTCCAGACTTGAACATACAGTGACTATACCTAGTTTACAGTGTCCTAGAGGTGAAGGAGGGTGGGATTGGACATTTAGCGACTTAGTGTGACTGAACGGAATAAAGGGGGCACATTTGCGTAGTATCATTGGACAAGATACTAAGATCCTCATTGTCTCAGTTCACCCAGCTGTAAAATGGGTACCTGTGAGGATGTGCTGGCAATGTGAGTGATTAGTTCATTGCGCCTAACAGGCAGCATGGCTGTATACTTCCCAGGGAGTTGAAAAAGTTTCGTATAGCACGATGGTGTCCTATGACCGGGGATAGTAATGTACGTAGCGCCGTGAGCAGGAAATGTGCCTGGATATGAGCGCCATTTAAACGGACTATTACTATGATTGAGGGTTGAGGGAAGGATTAGTGGAATGGTGAAAAGGTATGATCGGCCGGGTGAAGGAATAAAGTGGAACAGGTGAAATAAGGGTGTGATTGGGATGGGCTGGGTGTAAGGACGAAGGAATGACAGAACTGGGGAATGGTCTTGCTTAGACATTACTGATATCAATATATTCTCGAAGTTCACTTCTCAAGATGCTGCCTACTAGCTGGTTCTCTATTCACGTTTTCCACGGGAACCAGACAGTTCAATCGGCGCCTGTTTTCCCGTCTTGCAGGTGGTGGAAGGGGGATTGCTTCAACGTTATGGTTTCTGAACTAATTGCAAAAAAGTGCAGATTTGAGCTTTGTCTGGCAAAATGACAAAGAAATCGAGCTGAATCAGCGATTTCGTGATAGTGTTTATTGGCGAAGGTAACGATTTTGCTTCAACGGAGCTATGTCTCATCACTCCACAACTCACTCTTGCAGAGCTAAGTGCATGTGTATATAGTTACCGGGAAGGGAGTTTTGCCCACGATAAAAGAAACTCAGATCGCAATACAAAGTTGTCGTTCAGGCCCACACCTACACACAAGTATATATACTAGCAAGGTTATCTACTCTATGTAATTGGTCTACCACGTTGAACCGCTTAGGTATAAACATATCCGAGTTCTAGAGCCAGGTATTGTTGATTACCTGTTTGGGTTCCATCAGAAACTGTGTTGGCCATTCAGTAGTTCATGACGAACATCACTGTTGCTTGTACGTGCTCGTTCTCAACTAGGCTGTTTCATTCCATTGCCAACAATACTCACTCATTGTTATTCATGTTAACGCCGCCACGTATTACCAACTGGTGTCCTGATCATAAATAAACAAATTAAAAGCAGTTAGCAATCGGTGATAACTTACGACCTATATAATGGTTCCATTTTCATATTTAGGTAAAAAAATATAACTCAGTCTGTTTCATGACGTCATCGATTGAGTACAAAACAACTGCCAGTGCAGGTACAATCATCTTCATCCTTCAATATCGGCCCCGCTCTACAAAATAAAGAACAACAACCACCAGACAAAACTCCCCAACAAGTAAAAAAAACCAACAAACTCCAAACAAACAAAACTACACACAGACACAAGAACAAAACGATAAAAAACATAAAATAACAAGAATTTTAAGTATTTAAGTAATTTGCGTGATTGATCTATTTTGGACAGTTATGTCTGTACAACTACACAAATGTAACACATAGAATGTATATCGTATGTGGCCAATACAGCCAGCATAAACAGACACAGGATTGTCCTTTACGATCAACTGGACCATTTAATCTTGAACTCAGGGAGTGTGAATACAGCTGTAAGGATCAGAATTTGTACCTGAACCACAACCTGAGCTACAATGCTTAATCTCTACGTGAAGCAAGTCTAGATTTCCCCCAATATCCCAAATCACTCGGACTCCTTTTCAGTTTAAAAGGAATGGTTTGTTTCTAATAAAATGATATCTATTCAGTGAGTAAGCGTTAGTCTTAGATCAGAATACACCAATGCTTAATCTCTACGTGAAGCAAGTCTAGATTTCCCCCAATATCCCAAATCACTCGGACTCCTTTTCAGTTTAAAAGGAATGGTTTGTTTCTAATAAAATGATATCTATTCAGTGAGTAAGCGTTAGTCTTAGATCAGAATACACCAATGCTTAATCTCTACGTGAAGCAAGTCTAGATTTCCCCAATATCCCAAATCACTCGAACTCCTTTTCAGTTTAAAAGGAATGGTTTGTTTCTAATAAAATGATATCTATTCAGTGAGTAAGCGTTAGTCTTAGATCAGAATACACCAATGCTTAATCTCTACGTGAAGCAAGTCTAGATTTCCCCCAATATCCCAAATCACTCGGACTCCTTTTCAGTTTAAAAGGAATGGTTTGTTTCTAATAAAATGATATCTATTCAGTGAGTAAGCGTTAGTCTTAGATCAGAATACACCAATGCTTAATCTCTACGTGAAGCAAGTCTAGATTTCCCCCAATATCCCAAATCACTGAGGCTCCTTTTCAGTTTAAAAGGAATGGTTTGTTTCTAATAAAATGATATCTATTCAGTGAGTAAGCGTTAGTCTTAGATCAGAATACACCAATGCTTAATCTCTACGTGAAGCAAGTCTAGATTTCCCCCAATATCCCAAATCACTGAGGCTCCTTTTCAGTTTAAAAGGAATTATTTGTTTCTAATAAAATAATATCTATTCAGATACTCCTGATGTACCCTGGTGTCTCCTGATGTCCCCTGATGCCCACCTGATGTCTTCTGGTGTCTCCTGGTGTCCCCTGATGCCCACCTGATGCCCACCTGATGTCTCCTGATGCCCCATGGTGTCTCCTAGTGTCCCCTGATGCCCACCTGATGTCTCCTGGTGTCTCCTGATGTCCCCTGATGCCCACCTGATGTCTCCTGATGCCCCATGGTGTCTCCTGGTGTCCCCTGATGCCCACCTGATGTACCCTGGTGTCTCCTGATGTCCCCTGATGCCCACCTGATGCCCACCTGATGTCTCCTGATGCCCCATGGTGTCTCCTGGTGTCCCCTGATGCCCACCTGATGTCTCCTGGTGTCTCCTGATGTCCCCTGATGCCCAACGGATGTCTCCTGCTATATCCTATTGTCCCCTGATGTCTCCTGGTGTCCCCTGATGCCCAACTGATGTCTCCTGGTGTCCCCTGATGCCCACCTGATGTCTCCTGGTGTCCCCTGATGCCCACCTGGTGTCTCCTGGTGTCCCCTGATGCCCACCTGATATCTCCTGGTGTCCCCTGATTCCCACCTGATGTCTCCTGGTGTCTCCTGATGCCCACCTGATGCCCACCTGATGTCCCCTGATTTCCCCTGGTGTCCCCTGATGTCTTCTGGTGTCCTCCGATGCCCTCCTGATGTCTCCTGGTGTCCCATGATGCCCACCTGATGTCTCCTGGTGTCCCCTGATGCCCACCTGCTGTCTCCTGATGTCTTCTGGTGTCCTGCGATGCCCTCCTGATGTCTCCTGGTGTCCCATGATGCCCACCTGATGTCTCCTGGTGTCCCCTGATGCCCACCTGCTGTCTCCTGGTGTCTCCTGGTGTCCCCTGATGTCTCCCGGTGTCCCCTGATGCCCATCTGATGTCTCCTGGTGCCCCCGATGTTCCCTTAGTGTCTACTGGTGACCCTGGGCTCCCCTGGTGTCTCCTGGTGTCCCCTGATGCCCTCCTGGTGTTTCCTGGTGTTCCCCTAGTGTTTCCTGGTGTCTCCTGATGCCCACCTGATGTTCCCCTAGTGTCTCCTGGTGTCCCCTGATGTTCCCCTAGTGTTTCCTGGGGTCCCCTGATGCCCACCTGATGTCTCCTGGTGTCCCCTGATGCCCACCTGATGTCTCCTGGTGTCTCCTGATGTCCCCTGATATTTCCTGGTCCAGTGTGCCCTGATGCTGTGTCCCTTGACCCTGTTTCCAGTGGTGCTGAGCCAAATGTGTCTGTGTCTCCAACCAGTAAGAGCGCTGACCGCATCAAGGTGGGTGTTGTTTTATTATCAGTGGTCACGGCCCCATGCAATGTCGTTAATGAACTAGTTATTCTCCAGAGAACTGTTAGTGTCCGCCATGGTGTAAACATGACTGTACATCAAAGCTGTTTTACAATGAAATATCAATTTTTCAGTTCTCCAGCTATTAACGGTGTATAATTAGACAGAACAGGGAACGCTGGGGTGATGAATCATGTTGATGAGATTGACGAACGGAGGAACACACATAAACATACAGACGGATAGGGACGGATGGCCAAACTTTGTTACAAGGGTACACACAGGCACAGTAGTACATAGAGTGACACACACTGTGGTACATACAGTGACACGCGGTGAAACATAGGATAGAAAAATAAAGTTTGCTCTAGCCCTGTGTGTAGTGCAATAATGTGTGGTTTTGTCTTGGACCTTTACAGTTAAAACACGAGGATGATTGTGTCACATAGAAGTCCTATTATGGCGTCAACTGGTAGTAACGTCATATTTTGCCCAATTCACATTTTTAGCAAACCGAAGACCGGCGATCTTAGGAAGATTTAAGTACTAAAAATACGTCTCCGTACTTATGAGCATGCACTGATAAACTCGGCCTCATGGCGTACACGCTTGTAAACTCCCGCTAGTGACCCACGTAACTCCTAGTCTCCCGACCCCCTTCATCACCAACAACAATCACATCAAGGGAGGAGGACCTAGCGTGACTGAATACATAAAGTCAATCAACCCATGTTACTACGGGCCCTCCGATGACAGGGGCGTAGCTACCATTATAAAAAAAGCCCGGGCTTACACATGATTTTTGCTACAAAAATTGTTCTTCTAATTCTTGCCAAAAATACCTACAAACACACTATCACACTACAATTTAAGAAATGGTAATCCCTCCATGAACCATATTGACTCCAATATTCTAGCTGTGATAACTTGTATTACCAATACAGTCACCATGTACATATTATTCTTCATATCATAAATTTGAAAGGTGTCGCCCTTCAAGGAAAGCTTATGCATTACTCCATTCTTTAGTCATTCTGCAGGCTTTTAACACGTGATATTCAGGCTTCAGTGAAGTACTCTGCAACATTTTGAAACACTACACTTCAGTTGTTCGCGATCTATAGCAACTGTTTTATATTGTATTGTCTTTCATAGTTAAGATATTTTAGACTTTCATACTAGTTTTACGATTATATTTGTGATATTCTAGTTATTTTTACTATCCTTCGCCGACAGGATTTTATAATGATTTATTATGGCATTATAACTTGTTAATAGTCACGATATGGCTGAAATATTGCCGATGTGACTTAAAATCTTAACTCACTCACTGAAACACTAAACTACAATACCAGCGTTCTATAAAGACTTTATCTTTGTTTATTCTTCATTTGTTTATCATTTCATGGAGAAAAAAATACTCGATGCATGGTATCGTATCAATGCAGTAAACATGCGTTAAACAATGTCAAAACATATTTGCATATGAGGAAGTCACATTCAGTCAAATGATTATTCTGTCTGAACTAATGGTATACTACTCTAAGCTCTTCTTATGATTTCAAAATATTGATAAGATAACAACATTTTAAAGTTATTTATCATCAATCGTCAAACGATAACACTTCAGGTCTCATAAAAAAAATGAAAGCCCTCAATACTATCTAAATATAAAGCTTCGCAGTCTATCGGGCTTACACGAAAAATTGGCTTGCTACGCGTGAATGATATGTTCTCTTTCAACCAGTACTGGCCACGAACCGTGTGTCTCCAACTCCAGCCCTTCTCCATCCAGAACATGGCTGCTTATCATACATACCCTGAAACAAATACATTCAACACAGTGAAGGCATGTCCATAATATCTGGCAAATCTAGACATTCTGCTTGTGTATATTTACCTATTTTGTTTATATTTATTTAATTACATTCTGTAAAATATGTTGATTACGGAAACTAGATGCTAGTCTTGGCTGACCTTAACTTTCCTGTGAGATGAAATCGGCAGTTCACGAATAATCGTCCTGACTACTGATACGATAAACTGGTATATTGCTGACTACTGATATGATAAACTGGTATATTGCTGACTACTGATATGATAAACTGGTATATTGCTGACTACTGATATGATAAACTGGTATATTGCTGACTACTGATATGGTAAACTGGTATATTGCTGACTACTGATATGATAAACTGGTATATTGCTGACTGCTGATATGATAAACTGGTATATTGCTGACTACTGATATGGTAAACTGGTATATTGCTGACTACTGATATGATATAACTGGTATATTGCTGACTAGTGATATGATAAACTGGTATATTGCTGACTACTGATATGATAAACTGGTATATTGCTGACTACTGATATGATAAACTGGTATATTGCTGACTACTGATATGATAAACTGGTATATTGCTGACTACTGATATGATATAACTGGTATATTGCTGACTACTGATATGATAAACTGGTATATTGCTGACTACTGATATGATACAACTGGTATATTGCTGACTAGTGATATGATAAACTGGTATATTGCTGACTACTGATATGATAAACTGGTATATTGCTGACTACTGATATGATATAACTGGTATATTGCTGACTACTGATATGATAAACTGGTATATTGCTGACTACTGATATGATACAACTGGTATATTGCTGACTAGTGATATGATAAACTGGTATATTGCTGACTACTGATATGATAAACTGGTATATTGCTGACTACTGATATGATATAACTGGTATATTGCTGACTACTGATATGATAAACTGGTATATTGCTGACTACTGATATGATATAACTGGTATATTGCTGACTACTGATATGATAAACTGGTATATTGCTGACTACTGATATGATAAACTGGTATATTGCTGACTACTGATATGGTAAACTGGTATATTGCTGACTACTGATATGATAAACTGGTATATTGCTGACTACTGATATGATAAACTGGTATATTGCTGACTAGTGATATGATAAACTGGTATATTGCTGACTACTGATATGATAAACTGGTATATTGCTGACTACTGATATGCTAAACTGGTATATTGCTGACTACTGATATGATAAACTGGTATATTGCTGACTACTGATATGATATAGCTTGTATATTGCTGACTACTGATATGATAAACTGGTATATTGCTGACTACTGATATGGTAAACTGGTATATTGCTGACTACTGATATGATAAACTGGTATATTGCTGACTACTGATATGATAAACTGATATGATAAACTGGTATATTGCTGACTAGTGATATGATAAACTGGTATATTGCTGACTACTGATATGATAAACTGGTATATTGCTGACTACTGATATGCTAAACTGGTATATTGCTGACTACTGATATGATAAACTGGTATATTGCTGACTACTGATATGATATAGCTTGTATATTGCTGACTACTGATATGATAAACTGGTATATTGCTGACTACTGATATGATAAACTGGTATATTGCTGTCTACTGATATGATAAACTGGTATATTGCTGACTAGTGATATGATAAACTGGTATATTGCTGACTACTGATATGATAAACTGGTATATTGCTGACTACTGATATGATTAACTGGTATATTGCTGTCTACTGATATGATAAACTGGTATATTGCTGTCTACTGATATGATAAACTGGTATATTGCTGACTACTGATACGATAAACTGGTATATTGCTGACTACTGTTATGGTACAGCTGGTATATTGCTGATTACTGATTTGACATTTTAGTACTTTACTGAATACAGATGACGTCAAATGAAGACGTTGTCAGTGACGACGAGGTGGCTGCCCTGATGATATACACAAGCAAGATGAAGCCAGTCCAGAATTCTCACGTATGATAGACGGTAATGAGTGACACTCTGCACACACACCTCCCGATAATGTGTTCACTCCCATTTTCCCCAAAGAGAATCTCATGCGTTTACAACAAGCGCCTTTGATCTTCATAACGGAATCAGCATTATTTACACACCTATAAATTTATAATCAATGTGTAATCTGATAATTCTAATCTGGCTCTGATCGCATTTATCTCCGTGCCTCATCATGGTAGAATTGTCTTCCATCACACCGAACGCTTAATGGCCGCTTGTTCGCGACAGCTTTAATCAAATCAAATCAAATCAGGTCTTGGCGTCGTATTAACCATGTAAAAATGTCAAACAATCCTGGCAACGGTAAAACTATAGTCATGAGGGGTTCAGAAAAACAATACGGCGTTTGTCTATAGAGACCAATCTTGTTGGAGATGGTGAATAAAACATCAGTTGACCTTTCATATTAATTTGCTTAATTAATTTCCAGCTGATAATTTCGCTCCTGGGAGGATCCAAAAGTGCGATGTTTCCGACCACAAGCCGGTGAGGGGAAGTAGATAATGTGTCCAAAACCAAATCACCACATTGATCAGGGTTGATATCTCACGGGCTTATAACCTGAGAGTTTGAATCACGTTGCTGTAGTGTCTGATATTTAGAGTTAAATGGACTTCAGTTAGACTTAGCTTGTCAACATCGACATCTCGAAATCAGGTTTCTGGAGTATTTCCCAACTTAGGGGATCAAGACATGCTGTAGTTTGTCTCTTTACAGCCTGACATTCTCCCCGTTTTGTGGACATTTTATGTCCATTTTTCAAGAATAAATTCTAGAAAAATAATTAAAATATAGTTTTTATTGTTTTTAATGTCTCTCTCGATTTGATAGTCAATCTACAAAATGTCATTTGGGCTCTGAGTCATCCGATTGTGAAAATCTTGGTTATCGTGTATCATTGTGGAAATGTCACGTTCCTCTAACGGATTCTATTACTGGATCAATACTGTGGATGTATACATGGTGTTGACACTTTTGTGATATCTTGCGTGTTGTTTAACCATTGTTAAATGAGCCTGTAGGACTTAAACAATCAGGCTGGTCGCTTCATTGTTTGAACCAGGTACTGACTAGATCAGGCTGCACCAGTCAACTACTGTCCACACCGAGCCAATGATTACCTTATGTTCAGCTGTAAAACAAACACTAAAGGAAAACCTTGCTTTCACGAGACAGCGTTCTGTGTAGGTAATTTATAAACAACAGCACATAGTTCTGAAAGTGCCGCACGTTTCCTTTTTACGTGTATTTCATCTTTATCTGTCGGAGTCAATTTAAGACGAATTTATCATTTAGCTTTTTACTCAAGAGCAATTACAAATGCTTGAATGTTTTACATTTTCAAATTCTCTTTCTTTCGTTTTGCACAACATGAACTGGGGGATACCACCATGCGTAGATCAGTCACTTGCATCAGCGTATTGGGTATCATACTTGCAGCAGCGTATTGCGTATCACACTTGCAACAGCGTATTGGGTGTCACACTTGCAGTAGCGTATTGGGTGTCATACTTGCAGCAGCATATTGCGTATCACACTTGCAGTAGCGTGTTGGGTATCACACTTGCAGCAGCGTATTGGGTGTCACACTTGCAATAGCGTATTGGGTGTCACACTTGCAGTAGCGTGTTGGGTATCACACTTGCAATAGCGTATTGGGTGTCACATTCGCAGTAGCGTATTTGGTGTCACACTTGCAGTAGCGTATTGTCTGTCTAACTCGCAGTAGCGTATTGGGTATCATACTTGCAGCAGCATATTGCGTATCACACTTGCAATAGCGTATTGGGTGTCACACTTGCAGTAGCGTATTGGGTGTCACACTCGCAGTAGCGTATTGGCTATCATACTTGCAGTAGCGTATTGGGTGTCACACTCGCAGTAGCGTATTGGGTGTCACACTTGCGGCAGCATATTGCGTATCACACTTGCAATAGCGTATTGGGTGTCACACTTGCAGTAGCGTGTTGGGTCACACACTTGCAATAGCGTATTGGGTCACACTTTGCAGAAGCGTATTGGGTGTCACACTCGCAGTAGCGTATTGGGTATCACACTTGCAGTAGCGTATTGGGTGTCACACTTGCGGCAGCATATTGCGTATCACACTTGCAATAGCGTATTGGGTGTCACACTTGCAGTAGCGTATTGGGTGTCACACTTGCAATAGCGTATTGGGTATCACACTTGCAGAAGCGTATTGGGTGTCACACTTGCAATAGCGTATTGGGTATCACACTTGCAGAAGCGTATTGGGTGTCACACTTGCAATAGAGTGTTGGGTATCACACTTGCAGTAGCGTATTGGGTGTCACACTTGTAGCAGCATATTGCGTATCACACTTGCAATAGCGTATTGGGTGTCACACTTGCAATAGAGTGTTGGGTATCACACTTGCAGAAGCGTATTGGGTGTCACACTTGCAATAGCGTATTGGGTATCACACTTGCAGAAGCGTATTGGGTGTCACACTTGCAATAGAGTGTTGGGTATCACACTTGCAGAAGCGTATTGGGTGTCACACTTGTAGCAGCATATTGCGTATCACACTTGCAATAGCGTATTGGGTGTCACACTTGCAGTAGCGTATTGGGTGTCACACTTGCAGTAGCGTATTGCGTATCACACTTGCAGTTGCGTATTGGGTGTCACACTTGCAGTAGCGTATTGGGTGTCACACTTGCAGTAGCGTATTGGGTGTCACACTTGCAGTAGCGTATTGGGTGTCACACTTGCAGTAGCGTATTGGGTGTCACACTTGTAGCAGCATATTGCGTATCACACTTGCAGTACCGTATTGCGTGTCACACTTGCAGTAGCGTATTGGGTATCACACTTGCAGTAGCGTATTGGGTGTCACACTTGCAGGGTATTGGGTAGCGTATTGCGTCACACTTGCAGTAGCGTATTGGGTATCATACTTTGCAGTTGCGTATTGACTTGTCACACTTGCAGCAGCGTATTGGGTATCACACTTGTAGCAGCGTATTGCGTATCACACTTGCAATAGCGTATTGGGTGTCACACTTGCAGCAGCGTATTGCGTATCATACTTTGCAGCAGCGTATTGGGTGTCACACTTGCAGTAGCGTATTGGGTATCACACTTGCAGCAGCGTATTGGGTGTCACACTTGCAATAGCGTATTGGGTGTCAAACTTGTAGCAGCATATTGCGTATCACACTTGCAGTACCGTATTGCGTGTCACACTTGCAGTAGCGTATTGGGTATCACACTTGCAGTAGCGTATTGGGTGTCACACTTGCAGTAGCGTATTGGGTGTCACACTTGCAGTAGCGTATTGGGTGTCATCACTTGCAGTAGCGTATTGGGTGTCACACTTGCAGTTGCGTATTGGGTATCACACTTGTAGCAGCGTATTGCGTATCACACTTGCAATAGCGTATTGGGTGTCACACTTGTAGCAGCATATTGCGTATCACACTTGCAATAGCGTATTGGGTGTCATACTTGCAGTAGCGTGTTGGGTATCACATTTGCAGCAGCGTATTGGGTGTCACACTTGCAATAGCGTATTGGGTGTCATACTTGCAGTAGCGTGTTGGGTATCACACTTGTAGCAGCGTATTGGGTGTCACACTTGCAGCAGCGTATTGGGTGTCACACTTGCAATAGCGTATTGGGTGTCACACTTGCAGTTGCGTATTGGGTATCACACTTGTAGCAGCGTATTGCGTATCACACTTGCAATAGCGTATTGGGTGTCACACTTGTAGCAGCATATTGCGTATCACACTTGCAATAGCGTATTGGGTGTCATACTTGCAGTAGCGTGTTGGGTATCACATTTGCAGCAGCGTATTGGGTGTCACACTTGCAATAGCGTATTGGGTGTCATACTTGCAGTAGCGTGTTGGGTATCACACTTGCAGTAGCGTATTGGGTGTCACACTTGCAGCAGCGTATTGGGTGTCACACTTGCAATAGCGTATTGGGTATCATACTTGCAGTTGCGTATTGGGTGTCACACTTGCAGTTGCGTATTGGGTGTCACACTTGCAGTTGCGTATTGGGTATCACACTTGTAGCAGCGTATTTGGTGTCACACTTGCAGTTGCGTATTGGGTGTCACACTTGCAGTAGCGTAGCAGTAACCAGTGTATGAACAGTCCAGTGACATCAATAAAACAACTTTGAAATAAAGAATGCGACAATCACATGAAGACAATACACGTGAAGCTTTTTCTTGTTATTAGGACTTAAACATTATATACATTTATTCCACACACTCTGGATGTTGTTATGTTGTTTGATTCTATAGTTGGGAAAAATAATTGTTTGTAGTAAAGGGCTGTCTCAAACATTAATCCCAGGCCTCGTGCAGAATATTGAAACACCATTAAATTTTCTGGGAAGGTTTGGCGTCGACAAGCTATGGATCCCCTCGCTACATGGATGCAATATTACAGAAACGATGAGGAGACTAACCTCATCTGCTGCAGGCCATGGGGTATACACAAGCGGGCGTCCTTCATTTACCGACCTGTAGGAAAGCCCCAGCTGATCTGTCGATATATCGGATATATCAGAGAAATCATGTAGCCAGGATTCCCAGTGAGATTTCAGGGCAGAGGGCGTCTTCGTGTACCATGTATTTTGTTCCAGTCGACAAATGAGGTGAGGAGAGGTGAAATTGAGCTGATCGTCTTGTTCAAGCTTGTCTCACTTATAGCGACTATATGTGTGCGGATGTTTGTGCGTGGTCGGAAGTATGCCTGTTGTATGTATACGCTAGCCCACCGAGACACCATACTGCATGCACACCCCTCCAACAAAACCTACAACTCTGCATCAGTGCGTGCTGTATCCGTTCAATGCCGAGTACCAGGCAGCGCAACAAAAAGTAACATCTTTTCACGTCTTTTTTGGTCGATTGTGGATCAGTTGGAAAAACATCAGATCTGTACTGACTCACATATCTGTGGGCTGTTTTCGT